TTGGATACTAGCCCTTTATCTGATATGTCATTTGCAAATATCTTCTCCCATTCTGTCGGTTGTCTTTTGGTTTTGTTGACTGTTTCTTTTGCTGTGCTAAAGCTTTTTATCTTGATGAAGTCCCAATAGGTCATTTTTGCCTTGTTTCCCTTGCCTTTGGCGATGTTTCTAGGAAGAAGTTGCTGTGGCTGAGGTCGAAGAGGTCGTTGTCTGTGTTCTCCTTTAGGAAGAGGCTGACATTTTAAAAAGGGGTCTACTGTATACACAACCTAAGATTGAGAAACACTGTCCCAGAGAACAACTATGATTTTTATCTTTAGAAAAGTTCAAAATCAGTGTTAACAGGTCTCATGCCATTAAAAAAATCCCCAACAAAGTACTTTCAGAGGCTAAAATTTAATTAATATAACTTCTTATTAGATACTTTTGGTACTTATAAAATGTACCCTTAGTTAACTGAATGAATTGCATTCTCAAAACATTAACAGTCATTTTCCAAAAATCATAGCTTTTACTTTGGAAACATTGAGCTTTAGCTTTTATTTCTAGTTGTACTATAAATAGCAGGGCCAGGCTCTGTTAAGATAATTACTGTTGTGTGACAATGAATCATGTTGCCTGCACATGGAAGAATGGTTATTGTTTTATTCTTTATGCATTCAGCTCATCAGAAAGTGATCTCAAATCCTTTGGGTCCAGGGGGCCAGGGCACACCCCTTATAATCCCAGTAAACATTGTTATCAGACACGGGTGAAGAATGTTCCCACAGGCTCTGACATTTGTACTGATAAGGAGCTAGTTCTCTATTAAAATCAATGACTGGGGTTATATTTGAATTCGAAGAGCTTAGTTCATAACAGTACTTGATAATTCATAACAGTACTTGATACCAGCCCCTGGCATCAAAGGCTGAGTAAAGATCTGCAAAAATGAACAAATTTATTCCCTTAGCAGAGTTTTCTATAAGGTCCAACTAACAGAATAGCCACAGCTATTAGTTTAAGTGCAGATTTACAATATATTAAGAAGGAAATTGATGTAGACTTTACCTGGAATGTCCAGGTAAATAATCTCTTATTCTCTTAGATGCTGTAAACCTCTTCATGTTTAAACAAGGTGATGCTTTATTCGAGGAGATGCTTTCTCCTAGGAGATGCTTTCTCCAAAGATAATCATCTTCTCAGACCTGACTAATGCGGCATTGTTATTTATAGTTATTTATAGCAAAGTCTAGAAATGAGGGGTACCTGGGTGGCTCTGTCAGTTAAGCATCCGACTTGATCTCAGCTCATGTCTTGATCTCAGGGTCGTTAGCTCAAGCCCCATGCTGAGGCTTAAAAAAAAAAAGTCTGGAAATGAAAAGAATTTACTCTAGATTTAAATATAATATACCAGCTTTTGATATTTGCGATATGTAAAAGAACTCTATGTCACCAAGAGACAACCACAAATCCAAAATATGATGTTAAAACAGAAAAGCACATCTATTTTCACTAAGTTACAAATCTAAACTAATGTAATAATTTCATCGTGTGAGAGAATAAATATTTTAGATATTTTTGTCTCAAGAATTACTGTAATTGTTTATAAGTGACATTTTATAAACAGGACAGGTGTATGAATTTTCACTATTAGACACAGTGAGAAATTTCAGATCCTTAGCAATCAGCATTTTTTTTTCTATGAAACTGCCCTAAGGAGAAAATCAAATATAGGCACAAAAATATAAGTATAAGCATGTTCAACATACTATTTTTTATATAATACTAAAAAAAAAAAAACCACTTTGGGATAAAAAAAATCCCCAACAAGAGAAGAATGGGCAATTAGGTAGGCATATGCATATAAAATGTTTTCATGAAATAGTTAATAATATGGAAAATGCTCAGATAAGGAGAAAAGATAAGGACTAGCAGAAAATGATGATAATGATCTCAATTCTGTAATAACCATGACCCTTCCCATATGGGATGCCCTCCAGCAGCCATTTTTGTTTTCTGTAACTCTGACCCATTTCCCATTGAATTTAGGATTAAGGTTGAGATAGAAAGATACTTTTCTCTGCTGGCCACAAATACAGCAATGTGCACATGGAGATGGAGAGAGAGAATGAGAGAGAGAGAGAGACAAAGACAGAGACAGAGACACTAGTAGACACCTGGATTCCCTATGGCCTCAGATGCTGTGTGCAGCCCCTTCCTGGTACCACTTTGGTTCTTTCCATTTCCACCGAGGCTGATGTCTTTGCATTGAGATATTATGCATATTACAATTAGATAAGTAAAGAAAATGTAGATACTTTTCATCTTGAAATTAGACCTCATCTTCCTTATAAGCTCCCCTGGGTATTGGGAAAACTGTAGTTCAGACATACCCAGTAAATGCAGCAATCTAATTGCAGCTATGCACAGGGATGCAAGAGTGTGTGGCTCCAGGACTCCCAAACAGACCAGGTTCGGCCACTTGCCACTGACAAAGTCCAAATGCAGAGAGACAAATGGTGGTGAAACAAGAAGACAATTTATTTCACTGAGGCCAATACCAGGAAGACAGCAGACTAGCATCTAAGACTGTCTCCAAAGTGCTGAAAATAATTCCAGGTTTACATAAGGAAAATATGGGCAAAGGTGTGTGGGTATCTGCAGGTAGGCAGTGAAGGTTTAATCAATGGTCTTGGAGTCCATCATGGATGGGGTCCTGCTGGCTCAGGGCAGCCCTTGTTGTCTGAGGGGTAGTTTTGGCTCTTATTGAGGGATGCT